ATTAAAGTAACTATATGCAAATCACAATCAAAAAGGTTTTTTAAAATAAGCTTCATATGCCACATATTTGAGTAACAACACAGTAATCAAGCTGGTATTCAGCTTCATCCTACTGGCTAGCTTTCCTAGCGCTGGAGGGTGCTATGCATGGGAGTAGAAGAAAAATGCAATCTCCAGTCTCATTCGGCTGTGACCCCTATGAGCTACAGTAATGACTGGCTTGACAAGATATGCCCCCTGGTACAACAGTGGCATGAACGCTATGGACATAACTAGCCACTTTCTGATTGCATCTAAAGCCTGCTCTGTGAAATGGAACTCATTCCTGGCACTGTTAATAAGACCAAGAATTTGTGGTTTGATAGGTAACAGGCCCGAGAGGAGAACCTAATATTGTTATCTACTAAAAGGACATAGCATTAAACCAACTTTTAATGACTTATTCCTATACCCGTAGATCAGTGCATTGCTTAATACTTATCAGAGAAGTTTCTCCTCATTGTGGATGTCAATGAACACAGAGACCCTAAACTGGTCGATGTGTGGAGACTTAAGAGACTGGAGTGCTCAGTCCTAAATGGAACAAACATATCACACCCTACCCCTAAGGCTCAGGCATCTTAGTGGAAGAGTAGGTGAAAAGACTGTCAAATTCAAGGATGGTAGATAACATCAAGGACACAACGGGGCACTCAGTGACTGTGACGACACCCACAAGACTTGCCAGACAAAATCCCAGCGGAACTGGGGGCAGGGCATGAAATCCCAGCACCGAGAAACTGCTGGCATCTGATGGCTAGGAGAGGGAGAGTCAGTTTTCCTTAAAGGTATGATCCCCTCCCCGGCAGGCCCCCACTGGAGAGCATTTGGGCAACACTAGCTGGAGGAGGAGGAGGAGGAGGAGGAGGAGGAGGAGGAGGACTTCAGGTTGTGTAGGGAGTATTGGAGGAAAGGGTGGATTTGGGAGGAATTGAAGAAAGGGAAGCAGGATGATATAATCAAAATAAGTTGTGTGACATTCTCAAAGAACTAATAAAAATATTTTAAAAACCAAAGCTTCAGAAGCAAAAAAGGAGTCACCTCTCCCCCGAAGCACATCATTCACACTCCAACAGCCCTCTGTGGGAGACCAACAAGCCAAGGAGAGCAGAGGAAACAAGGACCACCGTGACCTTCCTAAGTCAGACCCATTCTCTCCCAAAGTAAGTTCATTGTCCAGTGAAAGACAATGTGCTGAACCACAATTCTCGGCGTATCCAGAGGAGCAGCCAGGGGTGTGAGGGCTTCTAACGACAGGCGAGCTGGCTGGCAAGCCAGAAGAACCAGCAGCTATGGCTCCAGTGCCATCCTTAGGCTTCACCCAGGAACCACTCAACAGTACTAAGACTCTAACTCGGGAGAAAAAAGGAGACTCAACGTCAAAACAGATGCTATGGGCATCCCAGAACAAAGATTCCCAAAGACTCTTCTAGAAAAACCATGGCCCAGGGAAGGATATGGGGAGGTTGGGGGGGGGGGAGCATTTTATTACCAAAACTTTCCATACAGAAAGGGGAGGAAAAGGAGGAAGGGAATTAAGTTGGGGCTGGAGAAGAAAGTGCTGTGTGTGTGTGTGAGAGAGAGAGAAAGAGAGAGAGAGACAGAGACAGAGACAGAGACAGCAGGGGGTGAAGTTGATGTAAGGATTTACCATTAAGATGCACACACCACCTCTCAGAGTTTAGGACAACCTCAAAAGGAGAATGTCAGGGTCAAGCCTCCTCTCCTCAGATAAGCAGCATGCTAATGGGCTCCCAGAATTCATCATACTGAAGTCCATTTTGGAGTAATCCGCATCTAACCTAATCTCTCTGCTGACATCACTGAAGATCCTTGAAATGAAGGCCTTTGTAAAGGCAACGCCTCCCATCACTCCCTCTGGCACTGATTAAAGGAGAAAGAAATAACTCAGTGCTAATTACTGCGTTACCCAGAGAGAGATTTCAGGTACACGCCGACAGGTGTACTTCCGCCTGTACTGTGCTGTGACCTCCTCAAAGGTACAGTGCCAACTCTTCCCAGCCCCGTCTGTCCTTACAACAGAACTGCCCCATCAAAGGGGGGGTGGGGAAACTCCAACTCTAGCTGGGAAGATTTCTGGTTCCTGCCTTCTCACTGACACGTTCCATGTTAACCCATTTCCCATAATAAAAAGTTTAACTTTAAAAACGCACCCAGCGCAGTTCATATAGCATGTAACTTATTAAATATTATTTGCTGATCAGATGAAAGCAACGCTCACTGCGAATCATCTTCACGGCTGGGAAATAGTTCTAACTTCTAGATAGTTGCGGAAAGTGCTTCCAAGGGGGCAGGGTGCTATTTTTTAAGCCATTGTGCTGGGCAAGGCAAGGACACGGTTGCTAATATCTGCATTCACTTTATGACAGAGTCTGGAACAAAAGAAATACTCGGAGAGAAAAGCCGAACGCCGGCGCACACTTCGGGGGCTTCCGACTGCGGAGCTAGAGCTCCGCTACCTCCGTCTGCAGGGGGATGACCCTGAAGGTGCGCAGGGAGAGTCTGTGGAGACTCTAGAATACCAGGGGCTGCTGGCACTCCCTCGGCACCCCGCCACCGGCCTCCTAGGGCCCAGGCGAGGCCGCCCCCCACCCCACCCCCGCGCCCAATTCGCGAGACTGGGGCGGACCCCGTGGCGGGCCCCGGGTGCCGACTGCACCCCAATGTCGGTCCGGGCCGCGAGCCGGCGGAGGGCGCCGCCTG